CTCGATCACCAGCACTCCTAACGATTCACTTGCTGGTTGTCCCACTTGGGGCCTTTGTACAATATTTATGTCCCTAAGCGTCCCCCTTGACAAGTCAGATTGATAATACGCTTGCTTTACTTTAATGAGGTCCTGCATTAGCTATTTTCAATAGGGACGATGGTTTGCTCCACTAATGTGACATGGCAAGGAACAAACAGCCGTTCTGTGCGTTTCAGCCTTTGTCTCCTTTGCTTTGCACGATGACATCATGAGATCAAAGCTAAGCTAATCAATGGAGTTGAGTTTACATGGCTTTATATAAATGCGGATTGAGCAGATTGCCATCCTCTGCTATTTAGTTAATCAATTTGTCACCATTCGCCTGGCTTAAATAACAGTCTGGGAACCAGTGCATTACTAGTCGTTCATATTCTTGAAGTTTGTCTGTTAGTATGCGAAAGTAAACGGACCTTGTTTTCACGATTCACCTACGGTATCAGAAACGTGCACTTGGACCGGGAACCTATAATATTAATGAGGACTCATATCGGAAGCGGTCTGTCACTCGACGAGGACCTATTGATACCGGAGCACCACGGTTTTATGAAGAACGACAGGTGAGTTCATGGGATTATCCAGATGTTTAATATTTTCATTCACAGAATGATGTTCCAGGAGTTGGTACTTATGGTCTTGGCGGTGATCCTTACGTCTTCAAGGAACTGGCGGACCATGCCCACAAATCTGCCTGCATATTAGGCTTGCTGAATAATGGTGGGAGCGGTGATCGCGCTTTACCTTTCACGGTAGTTCCATTGTTTTCAGATTTCCTCATTAGGTTTTCCCTCCTGTTGAAGAGTTCCCATCTTGGACCAGGAACGTATAATTTGCGAGATTCTCTGGACACTCTACTGAACAAGAGAGTGAGCAATCGTGGTCCCTACGATTTAACCACGGGACCAAGAAGCAAACCAATCGTAAGTATCTGCCATACAGTGTTCATTCGTCTAAACCATAGCGACGGATAGCTGTACCAACTAAACTTCATTTTACTTCTTACTGCAAATAGAGTGGAGACCTTTGCAGTCCGTAATGTAAATGATAAATAACATTAGTACTGCACATAATGCACACTTTCTGAGCGAATTATCTATTCGTGCAACGGATTTTCTTAAGTCCGTTAAAGTGGTTCGAATGTGTTTTTGCTTGCTGGAATGCACAAGCATCCACGTCAGGGATGTCGAATAGGTGAACAGTGAGAGGTGATAAAATATTATAGGCTATAAAGACAGGAGACGAGAGGTTAGGTGAAAGTAGACGCTTTTTAATCTTGCTAGCTAAGCGCCATCCAACCAAGCTCAGTGGTTAGACGAACCACAGTTCTAAGGACAAAGATGAAGTTCAAAAATAGGAGCGTCTCAACTGGCTCCTTGTGTAGCCGAGCGTAGAACTCATACTTATTAGGCGCTTTCCTTCTTCTTTGAATCAGTTTGAGCGTCATTCTTGTTGTTTATGAGACGAATGTCGGCTAGCTCATATGGCCAAATCAGTAGCTAGCCGAATATGCACATCTCAACCCGTTCGATGGACCAGTTACCGTACTTTAAACCGCTATGACGAATGAATGCTCCATCACTTAATGTTGACCAGTAATAAGTAGCAGTGAGTCATGATTGATGCATCAGGCTGGCAACCGATTGTACCCGGGTTCGATTCCCAGTCGATTCGGTGGATACGCAACTTTAATGATCCTTAACAAGGACAAACCAGCTTTACAGTACTTTCAAGTAAGTAAAACGTGTATTCTGCATGACGAATGTATCTTCATAGGCAAGCGAAATTTAAACTTTTCCGTTGTTAGCTTTACCTTATAACTTAGAAAAAGTCGTGAAGTGTGTTACTTAGGTTTTGGCGATTTTGACTCTTCTCCATAAAACGGAATTTGTTAACATTTCAATTTCGCTACAGGATTCATATACATATATATATATGTTTGATTATGTGTTAGGAGATCTCCTGACCCACAGACCAGCTAGTGGTTATTCAACTCCGTTTGTATATAACGTTCTTGACTACTTCCAGTTTGCCATTACCCAACAGAAATTGCACAAACCGGTTCCTGCAAAGCTGTTTTTATTGTAGTTGGTTGGAAACATTTCATCAGTGGTGTGGATGCACCTGTTCGCATCTGCAATCCTAATTGTAAAATTATATGAAAAAGTCAAAATTGCACGCAGCACACAAGCAACAGAGTTGTTACTTCCTAACCCATTGTGTGTTTTGTTTGTTTCGCTTCTGTACTTTTCTTTCAACCGAAAGACAGCAACCTAGACCGGTGCACGAAACTGCATGGTTATTGGTTGTTCAAACTGAAACTGAAACTTTCAACCCCTGGTTATGTCAGCACGGTCTCTATAAACATTGGTGGTATACAAACATATTTTGATTCCATAATCGAATGATAAATGATGAATGTGTAATTCCAGAACTTTCTTGTCTTTACTTAGGAAAATAAAATAAAGCTTGTTCAATTAGTTATATAGGCCTTTTTCATGCCATCCTTGGTCATAGTATCGGTTTTTAAATAATTTTTCCCTGAAATTGAAAGCATCAACAGTTACTTCTGTCGCCTGCCATACAGATTTTCAAATGCACATTTCAGACCCATCGCGCCTCACTTCCCTTCCGAACATTTTACACAGAATTGTGATTCCACGGAACCAGGCATGTACGAAGTTCAATCATTTGTGAACGATCTAAATAAGCCGGAAAAACGATACTTCGGGAAGTTCCGTCGTTTACCAGACCCAATGGCCAGGAACCGAGTACGATATAGCACACTGCTGTCGGCTCGTAGTGCTCCAGTCCACGAAGTAAGTCAGAGAGTATTCGGGATATGACCAAGCATCGTGGGCAGTAAGGTTCTATGTCGCCTACTCAATATCCGTACGCGTACACAGTCGTTTTAGTGTCTCATAGCTTTTGGAGTGGTTTTCTGTATTGTTCAACTAAAAAGCTAATCATATAGCGACATTCTATAATGGGAACATACGATGAATTATTTTTAACACATTAAAACCAACTGATGTTAAGAGTGTATCGAAAAATCGATGCGCCATATGTTGTTTTATTGTGGATGTTATCATGTTAATAACACAGTGATGTCGGTAGAGAACTATATTCGCCGGTGAATATAGTTCTCTACTGACATCGCTGTGTTATTAACATGATAACATTCACAGTACGATGAATTACTTTGATGGTTCCCTGGTCGACCGGCCGTTGATTATATTTTTATAAACTTTTTGTCTTTTTCTCTACGGTGAGAATATTCGAGTTTGTGATCTAGACAATCCTCCTAGCGTCACTTTTATAGTTTAATCCCGTCAGCGATTTCTTTAGCTACTAAGTATCGGTGCTGTTGACCACACCGAAATTAGCGTCTTCGTATTGAATACAGAGTTTTGGACGGAACGTTTAAAATGATTTGGCTTCACACATTTTCATCAGTAGGTTTGGGATTATTTATTGCGTTTGAGTTCACACTAGTGATCTATCCTTTCAATATCCACTATTTTTTTTTAAAATCCTCTTCTGACTTTTGTGTATATCGTCAACATCATGGCTGTGTTATTCTCGGTGAAATGAGTCCAACCAATCAGATTGACCACTGATAGCAGTGTTTTCGTCAGAGAAATTAGGATTGATCCTTACAGAAGCAGTTCAACTAAAATGACTGTTTACTGTCGCGGGTTCCACAAAAGTGGATAATCAAGCAAAAAATAGTGGACCTTATGCATCAGTAACTGAGCATGGTTTTGATTTGTGAAAGCTGAACTCGATTTAGTGCTAGACAAATGCAGTACACCTTTGGTTATTCGAAATGCGGATAATTTAGACTGGTCACCGGCATGTTTGCTGAGTAGTTTTCAGTGAAATGCACGAGGCAGACAGGATCGAAATTCGAAATTGGTGCAGCAAACGTAAAACATGCTGCTATCGATTACCTAAGAATATAGCTAACTCGTCATAGAAAAAGATAGCTTTAATTACTGTTTAGTTTTAAAATTATTTACTGATTACTTTTCCCCTTAGGGTTCAGTTTACTAGTTTGTTCTGTGAAATTTCACTAAATGGAATATCGTTGTACAGTAGCTCCAAGTGTTTCAGTCAAATAAAATCATTTTAACTGAAGGCAGTAAGGATATTCACTTTGTTTTCTGGCAACCGCAGTTATTATTCATCACTCACTTGAATACGGTTGATTAAAATATGCGGGATAGTTTTAACTCCCCACTCATTCACTAGGGGTGAATTCTTGCTGAGAGTACTAAAAAAAAATTTAAACGGTTTTACTAGGTGCCCATAAAGACCTCTTAAATTTGCACTTCTTTAACTTGAACTTGAGTGATCGTGAGATCTCGTAGATTTGTGAGTATTACCCGTCACTTATGAGGACTCGTCATTTCACAATTTATGCGATGAGTATACTGACTCTTTAGCACCCGTATCATATCAGTCAATGCCCGAAAACGTCTTTCATATCAAAACAGCACATCTTCATATCGTTTTGGTTCTCTTTTCACACCAGTTGTTGCTGTTTCATTCCAGGTCAGCCCAGCCTCGTACGATCCAGTAAAACCAGCAAAAAAGGCACCAAGTGGCAATCGAAAGAATGTGCCATTCTTTTGCAGTGCACCACGATCTACAATGGTTTGTAACAAGGTGAGTTAAGTGATAGAAATGTGTAATGCAGTTTGTTTGGAATTAAGGATCAATCATGAAATCGAGTGATATTGAAGACTCTCACAATAAACCATTTTTTCTTATAATCCCTTTGGCCAAGTTGTTATAAACGCCCGAAACTGGACCCTAAATAATCATCCTTCGATAGCGTTTCTCATCCAGATCGATAGGGAACAAGACCAAAACACAGCTGTAAGAAATCATGTATTGTACCACGTCATATTTATTTACAGAGAAGAGGAAGGCATAATTTCTGACCAATCACCTTTGTTGGATTATCCTTGTTCTCGTTGATCGTCTCAGAGCAAAGCAGTTTTCAGGGGTTAAGCCAACTCCGTGACTATCCAGATCATCTAGTTGAGCAAATAACCATTGAATTTTCTTCTGTCACATTTTGTGTTGACCCAAGAGAATCAAGCAAGTCGAGGCTGATTTATCTAGACTTCGACGACAAGTGGTCAAGAGTATAATTGTTCAAATGGGTTGATGAGCTCTCAGCAGAAGAGGGAAGTTTCTGTTCACTTGAAACGTCATTTTCTCCAAAATTTATTTCTGCTAAATTACAATTGATGGAAGTATATCGATATCTCTACCTATCCAGCTGATTTAAATTTGTCGTCAATTGCGTACAGATGTTTGATGTACGAATAGTGAAATATTCGAGGTGAAGTTTGTTGAATGACAGAAAACACGAGGGAACGTTTTTTTATGATCAACACAATGACCAACCACAATGAACAACAATGCGTACTATCTTTTGTGCCCCCACCGGAATTGGGGTTTGCAGTCGAGAGGCCTGATTCTGAGTGACATGGTCCATGACCATCACTTTGAGCGCATCGCTACACTGGTCCAACAGCGCACAGCTCCTGATGGGTATGAATTAGCTTGAAAAGTAAAAACAGGAGAAGAGCGAGTTCGAAGGAAAACAATTGTTTTGAAAGATTCATAATAAAACTGCTTGCAACGAAATGTTCTGTACTCCAATAAAAATATCCACTGTTCATGTTTAATCGGTTTGTCAGTCAAATTCATTTACCATTTTTATCAGAGTCAAATTGAAATCATTCTTGCTCTTGAATTACTCTTAAGAACCACAATATGTGTAGCGGTGGAATAATTTCTGAAATTCCTCTCTATCTCTCCGTTCATTTGGTGATACGAGTCAAATTGAGGAGAAAAGTTCACAAAAATGTATTTAGAAAGAATACAGTCGAAAGAAAAACAATTCTCAAGGGCCAAGTCCTCCACTAACCACTGCTCTCAGTGCTATACCGTAACCGTCACCTTTGACTTATGCAAAGTTCACATATTGTAACTGTCGTTATCAAGTTCACAAAGTGTTCACCCTTTGCAGGAATAAAAGGGGTGTTTTGCGGGAGGAGAAAAGACACTGAAAGACACTATGACACTATGAACAACACTAAGTTTATGGATTCTAGACCTTTATCAGGCCCTCTGGCTTAATAATGAAACTTCGAGCTGGGAAGTCACTGCTGTACTTCCGTGTCTCGATTTCAACCTTGAAGACAATGGACACTTTTCGTCGCCTCTTCTCCATGTCACCCGTTGTCATCCGTGGGACATTTTTTACATGGGGCACTAACTGTAGACAGGGCGTTGTGAAAGATTGATAGGCGTGCTCAAAAACGTATCATAACATGCAAAATATGCTTTCAAAATTTGCGTGATGACAAATATTTCTCTAGCAAGTACCTACGCAATCGGTGTTTAGCATTTTTCCACCAATCTGCTCACGCCATCCTGTACATATGCATGTAGATTTTCAGCCACTCAAGTTGCCTTATAAATGTCCTTTTGTGCCTCAGGTAATCATGTGGTGTGCACATAACGTATTTTTACTACTCGCGAGTAGGTAAATGCCGAATACAAAATATGGTTGTGGATGTTGCGATGTTATTAACAGCGATAAAGAAAGAATTTTGCAATTGTACAATTATACAATTGTATTTACCGACGTTTCGGTTACCGTGGATAACCTTTCTCAAGGCTGTTTTACAATCAAATCACACATGGCGCATTGATTTTTCGATACACCTCTAACATCGTTTGTTCTTGATACACAAAATATTACCCTGGGGTACAAATCGCAGGATTTTTATTGAAACTTTTCAAAGATAATACAATACAGCCGATCTCCTGTTATGTCGCACCCCTCGGGAATTCGAAAAAGTGCGTAAATTTCAGGAACTGTGATACAGCATATTAGTGAGTAGTAGATGCTCTTAAGTAGTATGAAAAACCTGTTGGGAGTTTTGTGACAAAATAAACCGGATCGATAAAAATTACATCAATTTCGTCACTAGTTCCCAATGTTTATAATGATCTACTGTTTATTTATAACGGAATTTATGTATACCCACCTGTGTATCCTTTATGTATTCAAGACAGTGAAATCTTTTATGATGCCCTCAGCTTAATATCGGTACACTGAAGCCGGTATTCACCCAACATCATCAACAGTGCCTGGTGCCTGTGAAAAACCGAACGGCCTAATCCAAACTTTCGCCATATAAATAGGTTCAACCGATTGATACGTTCGTTGTAGCCAGTGCCGGTAAACGTAAGACGTGTGATTCGTAAATGTAAAAAGCGATGGTAAGAGTATATAGAAGTTTGAAGTTAATGAGAGTAGGTGCGATTGCTTTCACAATTTAAAAATCCAACGTAGCTAATCTTGAATCTTTCAGTAATCTACATTTTATTGAATTAGAAGGGCACATATGAGAACACTGAATACTTTTTGGAATGAAAGGACTGACTCAGTTAATTCGGATTAACATGAAATGAATGGGTTTAGTAGTGATAATCACGTGCTTAAATCATTTAATTAGTGCTGAAGGTGACGCAATCGGACGGAACTTCGCTCATCCTTTTTCTGCAGAGGAGTAATACGAATATCTTTACAGGATATCAACCAGTCTGCGTTTAATCACAAACTTACTAAAGATAAATGGAATTTTTGCCTGGTGGTTTGCGCACTTTATCAAAACGACTGGACCGGAAAATGTCTTATCATTGATAGCTTCCAGACCCTGTGAAACGTGTTTTGCAGTAACAGATAGTGCGAGCTAATTTGAGATCTAGTATTTTGATGCTTCTATCAGCAAACTTTGAACGAAATCATTTTACGGAAGAAAGCATCGATTAAACCCAATAGTATCACCAAACAGAGGTGAACCATCCCATCGTACTAACAGTCTTTTCCATAACTGATGACAGAGTATGTCGCGGGGAACGGTATATCTGATTAAGTTTAAGTGTATCTTCTTCGATATGAACGGTGATGGGTTTCCGTTTCTGCTTTTCTCCAGAGCAATGAACCTTTTCTTCCCCGTCTACGCAATCACCTCACTCGGTCAGAGCCACTAGTTTATATGTAGATGAACTCTGCCAGGGGAGTAAACAATACATGCCATAACAAAAGTTAAGGCAGTTTTTAATATTATCATAAAAAATATTAATAATAAATGAATGAGGAATCGTTTGAAGTTTGAGGAAGGGCTCATCTCTTTTAAGTTGAACGAAATGTGCTGTACTATAAGGAGCTCACGTATTCTGTACTCAGATAGGTTTTCCCACTTACATCTACCGTATATCGCGAAGGAGAATTTTAAAAACACACTAGGCAGATTTTCCCACAAGACCACATTTAAGAGTATGAAAGAATGTGTAATCGTCAACGAAAATCCAGTGGAAATTGGCTACGCGTCCAGTAGAGCAGTCCTAAGTAATAAAGGAATCTCAAGTATAATTATTATTATTATACTGAATAACATATGTCTAGAAGGGCAGACACTTAACCCGAATAACAGTTGAAAATGTTGGGAATGTTTCGGACGAAGAAACGTGTGACAAGAACACTTTTTGGTTCCATGTGTTGTCCTTGCTGTCTGATCAGATCGCTTCATCGTCTAATAAACATGAATTTTTTACTTGAAACATTGTAAATTCCAGTTTATGAGATTCCATTCATCACCAGTTTTTGTAATCTCTAGCCAAACACTCATATTTTCTCCATGTTTACATCTTTTATTCAAGTAGTACACTATTTACACTTCTCACTAAAAATTTGACGGAGTCATCTATTTGTGACGAGATTTCTTTCATCTAACACAGTTGCTATCTTGAACAACATATACCGATAGGGCGTACTATGAAGATGTTTGTTGTATTATTGTGAATTTTCTCCCTGTTGATTGATTTTGTTCATTTCGGAATTGAAGAGACAAAGTAATCTGTATTGTCTCCGTCTCTAACCGTTTTGCAGACCCCTGTCGGACCGGGTCGATACGATGTGGAGCTGTACGACGATTCCCGTTGCATCTGGGGTGCAATGTGTGCTTTCGACTCTCAGACCGCGCGGATGGCCGGAAAATCAGTGCAGGCGATGAGGTATGAACAGAAAATGTGGCTGGATATCAGTGAATGTTTAGGGCATTCGTTTTTCGCTTTTCTTATGTGGCACTTAGCGGGAAACAAAAATAACTAGGATGAATCTTGTCTCAGTTCCATCATCATTCACTGTCCATTCGGTTTGGGCTGCATTACTTTTTCTAGGGGTAAAATGCTTATACCGAACTGCAATGTCGGGTGCCGATTAACTCAACCGATTCCACAGACACTAGACATTGTGTCGATGATTTTCGTTGTGGATTTCGTTTTCTGAGGGATAGTTTATTTCCCACACGTTGGGTACATTATAATGATAATGAAAATCGTTGTATGAATGTAGGAACAAGTACTGGGCAGCTATTATTCCCGTTCCACGGTAAATTTACTTCTATGATATATTGTTTGACCACAGTCAACCTATTTAAAAGTTAGGTGGATAAGAAAGCGTCCAAAATCATACAAAATCCATTCTGTTTAGTGAGTAAATTTACGAGCCAGAGTTCTCCCCGTTCTTTGGATACTACATAAAGTTAAAAATGCATTTAAGTGAGAGTTGTCCGGATTGACTTTCCGTTTGAAGCTTTCCGCTACTACTCAGATATTGAGTTTGCCCGGTGTCCCTTTTTAACTCTGTAAAAATAGTACTAAAGCAGTACACAGTGGATAAACAGTGATCACCATACTAAAAGCATAAAGACTGTGTTTAACCAAAGATTTTTCACAAGGTCATAGATTGTGGTTGGAACATTTTTAATATTGAAGAAAATCCTCAAAAGCCAGTGAAATCGACCGCTGTACAAAAATTGTGACGTAATTCACTAGCGACCTTTACCTTATTGATTAGAAAGCGGGGGAATTCTTATAAATATTAGTACGAGAGGGTAGAGGCTGAAAAGAGAAGCCTGTAGACGGATGGGACCAACAAGAAAATAGATCGGAATGCAGTGGGTGAAGAGAGTCGTCTAGAATCTTTGTGGTAAATTTGAAACAAGATTTGATGTGACCAATAATGAGTTTTGTGATCAATGAATCGATTGAGAGCATTGATGCGCGAATAATTATCACTTGGCCATGACAAACTGTTTTAAATATTGTTTTAGAGACTGAGAAACCCTACAGGGGAACAATAAACTATAGAATGGGGAAGACACATTGTCAGCGAAAGAGGACAAGGCTGACTGTGGGGTTCGGAATAACCTGAGTTTGCGTAATTGAAAAGAGAGGCGTCTCAGTTTTCCCATAAAACTGTAAATGTGAGTGGACCATCGGAGTTCACTGTCGATGGTGAAACCCAGGTACTTGACCGAGGTCATTCTGCACACACGGTTATAGTTAAGGGTAGCAGAGTATGTTTAAAATGAGGAGTGGGAAAGACAATATTTACTACGGGCACTTAGATGTGTTGAGACTAAGACCAGATTGACTGGATGTGGGATAGATTTTCAGTGAATGCACCGAACTCCGAAGGAGGGGGAATTGTTTAACAGCCGAAAAATTGCTAATAAAAGCAGAAAAGA